GAACATCGAATGAGAATTCTAGATTTAATTGGAGAAGCTGGTGGTTCAAGAGGAAACATTGTTTCCATGAGCAGAGGGTGCTGGCCCTAGTAACAATGGGGGGGGGGCATAGGTCCTCCTCCCGGCCCCCACCCATGAGCGAAGGGGGGGGCCCTAAGATGAAAAGGGGGGGACACTTATTGTCCTGGCCCACAACCATGAGCAGCAGGTGCTGGCCCTAGAAACAATGGGGGGGGCATAGGTCCTCCTCCCAGCCCCCACCCATGAGCAGCGGGTGGGGGCCCTACATGAAAATAGAGGGGGGACCTATTGTCCCCCCTGCTCCCCACCCATGAGCGGTGGGGGAACCCTAGTCACCTCTGAGGAGGGTGACTAGGGATCCCCAAGCCCTAGTGTCCCCCCCCCCAAAAAAAAAAAAATTTCTACCTACCTCCCTCACTCTAAAAATAGTAAGGGGGACACAATAAAATTAAGTCCCTGTAAATAAAAATAAATACTTTTACCATTTGAAAATGGCAAATTAAAAACCATAAAGCCCATTGAATTTATAAAATAAAAAAAATCCAAGCGCCCCCCCCAAAAAAAAAATGCTGAAAAAATATGCAGACGCTAAAAAAAATTATTCGATGCTCACACAGCGAGGGCACCACACAGACTGAGCTCTGCAGGTCGGGGAAGGGCTTATAAAGTCAAAGTTATCTGAGTCAAATCGCAGGGCGTGGGAAGGCTTTATAACCGTTTCCCCGCTTATGGGTGAGGGACAATAGGTCCTCCCACCATTGTCACTAGGCCCCCCCACCCGCCGCTAATGGGTGGGGGCTAGGAGGGGGAAGGGACAATAGGTCTCCCCTTCCCCCCTGTTTTATCTTAGGGCCCCCACCCACTGCTCATGCCTGGCTGCTCACTGTTTAGTAGACATGCCTCTACTTGCAGCATAGTGAGTAGGGGCAGATTAATTACTATTACTAAGTAATTTTTACTTAGTATTAGTAAAGTTGGCTGAAAGACAAGTTTTGGTCTTTCAGCCATTTGGTAGATAGCTCACTAATACCGTGGGCATGCAGCCGAGGCACGAATTGGATCAGAGTTTCATTCATTTGAATGAAATTCCGATACAAACAGAAACTACCGAATGCCATCCTAACATGAATGAACAAACTAGCCATTCTATTTAGACAGAATTCGGTAGTTTCGCCGGGGTCCTATCTATATGACAGGACACTGGGGAATAGTGAAAGGAAGCATCGCAAGATCAGGTGAGAATTGTGGGAAAATTATTTTGACCGCGAGAAGTGGGTTAAAGCTGGTCAAGCATAGGAAACTTCCATAAGACAAAGTAGTCCCTACTTTGTCTTATGTTTTAAAAAAACTAGAGCATATAGGAAGAATTGAAGAACAGATCCTGAGAGAGGGGGAGATCTGTAGTCCCGACTTTGTCTTATGTTTTAAAGAAAACTAGAGCAGGCAGGAAGAAACTAAGAACAGTTCCGGAGAGAGGGGGAGAAGAGGAAGCGATTAGGGAAAGCTAAGTTCGGCATGACGGTGCCGCTTTAAGGGATTCAAATAGACAAGATAAGCTCATGGTTAAATAGATCACTATAACTTTAAATGCCTGTTCAATATGTTTAGGTCTTTACAAATTAAAAAAACAAAACAAGAAAAATTTGCAACTTCAGAGAACAGGTACATGTTTCATGTTAACCACTGTTGTCTACATTGTCATAGGTAATGCATATTTTCTATGCACATCGCAACCACAAATTGTATTCCATTTACTAGAAAAGAATGTTTGTTTGTAAAGTCAATTGAAGCTGTAATACGTTTGTTTATGTTTAGTAATTATTCAGGGATATCAATTTTAATTAGTAGGATAATAGCTTCTTGATCCTAGGATAAATCTGACTGCCATTCTGGGATCAAGAAGGATTTTTTTCCAAGTTTGTTGCAAAAGTGAAAAGCGCTTAAAACATTTATTTTTTTGCTGCCTTCTTTTGGATCAACAGCAAAAACAGATGAAAGAAAGGCTGAACTTGATGGACACATGTCTCTTTTCAGCTATGTAACTATTCGGTCCAGATGAATAGAAATCAGGTTATAGGCTGGATAAAAAGATCTGTTCTTGTATGATGTATTATTCCTTAATTAATATGTAATCTGAAACGTTTAATTGATTGTAATCATAATGAAATGGAATCAAAGCCAAACTCTCTTTACAAAAATATGTAGGTGGCTTACTTATTTAGGAGTGTGTATTTTCAGAGTACAATTGTGCATCACTATATGACTTTATAGAAGGAACTTTGTGTCCTTTCGCTTCACACACTATGAATGAGTAATATTAACTGATCCTAAAAGCTCTCTGTCTACATAATTGCAGCAATATAACATTTATCTTAAATGGATTTGATGGTAATAATTTACTGTATTTGATATATCAATAAAGAGTATACTTAGTAAATGATTAAAATAACTGAACAGTGGTAACATATTTACTAGAAAACATTTCAAGGGTAATTAAACAGGAGTTCAAATGATATTGGCAACTCACTAACTAGTGCAACACTAGTGGAACACGAAGGGTATATTATGGTAGCCATTTTCATGTGATTCACCATCTCCTTTTAAATGTATATTAAAGAATTAGTAATTTAGCGATTGACATCACAAACCAGTTCAGTCAAGGCATAGCTAGGGCACACGTATTGGGGGAGCAACAGAAGCTCAATATGTTGGCTGACAGGTGCAAAGGGCAAAGCGTATAACAACGAGTGACAGAGAGGCAAGATAGATTTCCAACAAGACAGTTCCACGATAGAGTCACATAAATACTGAAGTGTGGATTTCTTCATTTACAATTATTTTTCAGACCTCAAAAACATACAGTTGTGTATTTGAATGCTATAGTTTTAAACTACATATTTAGGTTGGCCCTCACCTATGAGGATTTAAAAGTTGAGATTGACTTACCTTTAAGTGCCACGTTGCCTCTACACTTCCTTTATCACAAAATAATTGTAACAGAGAGTTAAATATATTATTTTTTTAAATTTAGTGAAAGTGCAGCAACAAAGAATTGTTATCTCGATCATGTGATCAGCACAGACAGGACATGAGAGTTGGAATGCATCCATGAATATTAATGGAACGCAAAAATATACGCCTACACCGCATGCATACAGGGAGTCACCATGTGGTGATGAGTTCTTGCTGTGGGCAGGCATGTAACTAATCAGAGGGGAGGAGGTGGATGGTGTGAGAATGAGCAAGTCTACCAGGAGTGAGTCTTTGACAAAGCTCATAAAGGAACCCTTCGGTATCACAGACTGAGAAGGGTGTGGGTTCTTCTGCCCCCTCCCCCAAATATTGTGGAAGGAACCCTGAAGCCCTAACAATACTACACTATGTGCTGCTTATTTTCATGTAGATTTCCAACTGTATCCCTATTATATGTGATTGATCCAATATGCTTGCACACCTGGTATAGATACTGGCTGTGCCTGGTGCTGGTCTTAACCAAATACAAAAATCCCCCAAATTGACCAAACTTAAGGACTTAAATAATACTTACATTTATTATCTCATCTTAAAAAGAAATGTCAGTTCTCTTTTTAAGATGAAATAATAAAAGTTATGTATTATTTAAACTTAGTACCCTGATATTTGAAGTCCTTGAAGGTGTTGTAATTTTTTGGGATTTTTATATATATAATATTATTTTTAATCATTTAAAAATGTTTGTATCTGACCAGGGCCATTGAGTGGCTTTTGTCTTCCATATGCTCCTTGGTCAATACACAAGAGTAGAATAAAGCAAAATATCCTCTTTGAGATACAATCCAAATTAAATGCTTATTAGACAGCTGAATCCTAAACATTAAGCCTTTACAAGCTCAAAATCAAATGACTTCAACATTTTGTTAATCTGGAAAGCTGTATAACATCTGTCTACTAACCTTTGACTCAATAAGTGCTAGATAAGAATTGAATGTGTTGCAATATCGAGTACAGAATATAATGCACCTTTTCTGAATGTGCGATAAGATGCCACCTACTATGCATCACATGAGCTACATATTCCCATCAGACGTCACCACATCACTGAGCTATTGTGATAAACACCATGCTCATACAAATAAAATCACAAATAAGTACCGGTAGATCAAAACCTGTAGCATAGTGCCCCATGTGTAAAAGTGAATATTTTAATTATCATGACCATTTCCTTTGGTTAAAAAAAATAAGGGGAATTTTATTTTTTTAAATTATTCTCCACCGTCAGACTTTCATAGTCAGTGTTTTAATTTCTATCTCAAACCCACTTCTTTGAAAACGCATATCAGCAACGGTTTAACTTTTCTACATCTTCAGTTTTTTTTCAATTTGAAATTTTATTTTCATAAAGACAAGGAAATGGGGTACAGAAGAGAAGGGGGAGCTTCATTCGAACATAGTGGGGTTGTACAATCTTTGCTATACATGTCTTGATATATAACTTTAATCAAGGGGGGAACAGAAAGGAAGGAGGGGAGGGTTAACACATCTTTGACACAACCTAACATTTCCACACCTAGTATTCACACTGGTGCCGTGGTGTTTCAATGGGTGGTGCGTGTGGAAGGAGCTCCTAGTGGTCGGGGAGTCCGCTCGTGTAACTACGTACGGTGTCATTGTCATGAACCTTGTGGAGTCGATTTGGTACAATATAGTTCAAGGTCCCCTATCTCCGGGGGGGGGGATGTCGTCGCTGAGCAGGGTGTCAGTGTTATGTTATGAGGTTAGGGAGGGGGGGGAACAGGGAATGTGGGGGGTTCCAGTGTACTGGAGGGAGGGTAGGTGAGAGGTGGAAGGGGGTAGTAGCGTGGTACTGGTTTGCGCTGCAGGTGGGTCCTAAGGTCATGACCCCTATGTTTCGGGATAGTCTGGTAAGTGTGTTGGGAGATTGGTGCTGGTTTAAAGGGTGTTTTCCTTTTGGCAGCCATTGCTTTGGCTTCCCTGTGGGCCTAGGAAGATCTGTGTTGGTTTTGCGTGAGTTGTTGTGTATAGTTTCGCCACATCATGGCGGTGTAGGGGCTTAATTTTCCGATTTTCGCCTGCTTCCACATGATGAGTTCGTACTCCATTGCCAATGTCACTTCTGTTTCAATTTCTCGGGTGGAGGGCAAGTCCGCTGTTTTCCATTTTCTGGCTATTAATATGGACACTGTGCCAAGGATGAGGTATATCAATTTCTTGATCGGTTTTGGAAAGTCGTCTGGTAGCAATCGGAGTAGCATCGTTTTAGGGTCAAGAGCTAGTTGGAGATTTGTGACATTTCTTATAAGTTGGGCTGTAGCTTTCCATAGGTCTTGCACACTGTCGCATGTCCACCACATATGTAGCATAGTTCCTTTGGTAGCGTGGCAGCGCCAGCATAGGTCTGATGTGTCGGGGAATATGGTGTGCAGTCGGGTCGGTACCATGTACCATTGGTATAAAATTTTTCTGGATGCTTCCAGGTGTGCTGTACTTGTTGTCAGCCCTACATGAGAGGTGAAGATCTTTTCCCAGTCATTTGGGGATATTGTGACTTGGAGGTCTGTCTGCCAGTCTTGCATGAACTTCCATGTGGCGTTGTTGTCAGGGTTAGCGAGGTAGTCGTAGCAGGTAGAGACTGATTTCTTCGGGGGGTCTAGGGAAAGGCATTGTGCTTCAATTTTCGTAATGGATGATCTCAGTGAGTGTTTCATATCTGTGATTTCGTTGTGGGTCATCAGCACTTTGATTTGTAGATATGCGAATGTGTAGTTCGGGGGTAGGGCAAATTCTTTCTGTAGGTCTGGGAACGTTTTGAGACCCTCCTTGGTGCATAGTTGGTAAATATGTGTAATTCCTTTTTCTTCCCATTTATGATGTGGGAATGTACCATTGCATTGGTGCAGGGTTCGGATTGGAGTTGCTAGGGCCCACGGGTGTGCTGAGCACAATAGGTCTCTGTAGGTGTCCATATTTTAAGGAGGCGCTTGGTGGTGTTCAGCATGGTTGAAGGTTTCTGTCTTAGGTGCCGGGGTATCCAGAGCATTGTTGGCAGGTCCTGGTTCCCACTATAATTGTTCTCTATCGCTACCCATTGGGGGTTGTATGTGGTCGAGTGGGCGCTGATCACATTCTTAAGGATGACGGAGTGGTAATACGCTTTGATATTGGGAAAGCACATTCCACCGTGTTTCGCATTTCTCAGCAGCAGCGATTTGGGGACTCGAGGGTGTTTGCCGCCCCAGCTGAATCTGAGGAGGGTGGCCTGTAATTTTGTGAGATAGCTTTGCGGGATTTTGATTTGTAGCGTCCGGAAGAGATAGAGAATTTTAGGTAGGATTGTCATTTTCAATGCCGCTATTCTTCCAACCCATGATAGATACAGGCCCTTCCATGTTTGTAGTTGGGTGTCTATATCTTTTAGCAGTTTTGCGTAGTTGGTGGGAAATAGCTCATTTTCTTTGTGGGTTATTTTGACACCCAAGTACACCAGATAGTCTTCTCTCCAGTCGAAGCTATGGCTGGATTTCAGGAGTGTTTCCATGTGTTTTGGTGTGTTGAGGCACATTGCTTGTGTTTTAGCAACGTTGAGCTTGTAGTAAGACTGTTGGCTGTATGCATGTATTTCTTTGTGCAAGGAGGGGAGTGTTATGAGTAGTTGTGTGAGTGTGAGGAGGATGTCATTGGCGAATAAGCTTAGTTTGTATTTTTTTTGGCCAACTGGTACACCATGGATGGAATCATTGGACCGAATTGCTATTGCCAGGGGTTCCAAGGCTAACACGTAAAGGAGAAAAACAAACAGAGAACAATACAGGGTAGTGAGCGGGAGAGCAAAACACTAAATCCAAAAAGGAAAAGTGCTGGTCTGCGCCCACAACCTGTGTACCGCACGGAGACTCCAGGGGTCTCCAGGGGCTTAACCCCAATTAAATGAAAAAATGGACAGAAAGAAATGCTAAAAGGTCTCAAAAGAGAAACAAAATTGAGACCTTAGGCATCACCTGGATATATATATATATATAGCATGTAGGGGTAGAACAAGTATGTAGGTGTGTATTCAATCTACCCTAAAGGTCAGGGAGATCATAAAGTGCAAAAAACCAAAGTTATATATAATAAAAAATGAATAAACTAAGGTATGTACAGAAAACTCGTGCCACTATATCTCATAAAGAGAGAGCAAACAGGAAAAAATCACCCTGTCAGTTGAAAGATGATACTCAGTACAAAATAAAGCTTTATTAGAAAAATAGGCTAACCTATGAGTATCAATCCTGGCAGTGTATCTATTCATCTCATCTAAATCACTGGCTAGAGAATACTGGGACTTAGGATATCATAATAACAAAGTATCAAACTATAAAGTGCAGGGGGGGGCCCCCTGAGTCAAATCCTTCAGCTGAAGAATAAACTGAAGGATAAAAATCCCTAGGTCCCAGGACAGAAAATAAGTCCTATCAGCCAGAGAGAGAACAAAAATAAAATAAAATAATAAGTTAGATAGCAGGGAGGAGGAGTAAGGAGTAGAGAGATCAGTTCAAAATGAGCTGATAATGTCAATTATAAAGCCTCTCTCCCTGTTAAACTAACTAGATACATATAGTGGTAAAGAGAAAAAGGGAAATACAATCAAAAAAAGAAATAAATTCTGCTATAGAGAATAATTAGATCAAATGCCCCATTCCCATTTAGAAGAAGAAAAATAATGAGGTAGAAACGCCCGACGTGCGTTTCGGTGCTTTTATGCTGCACCTTCGTCAGGGACCAACAAGATAATGATCAGACCTTGCCTTAAATACATTGGGCGCCCAAATTTGAGTGTATACCTGCAACCAATTGTTACCCGTGTATGGTAACCGCTCCAGGTGATGCTAGTAATTAATCCCGTGGTTCGGTGTGGACGTACTGAGATGACGTCACTCACCCACGTGATCGCGGGCTCGGGGTCTCTGATTGGTGATGGCTCGTATGCAGACCACTCCCCCTATGTATGGGGCTTAGAACGAGGTCTCTGCTAATGTCCAACCCCCCTTGAATTCTAGTAAGCCTAAGGGATGAGCGCGGACAGTAAAACTATAAAGTCCAACACTCACGGAACGGAAAAAGCAACCATAGAATGGATATATGTACAGGTAATAAGTAAGATATCATATTACATAAAGTGTACCCAAAACAATTAATTACATATAGATGTATGAAGTGGGTGGTATGATACTGGATGGAGAAGTGTCAACTATAACTATATAGATCCCGAGATTGGCTATACAGTTGCATATATCCCGTCAAAAGAAGATAGAATAAAACAACACTAGATGGCTTTAATCCATATGTCCGAGGTGTTGTTTAAAGGGAACAACTCCAAAATATTGATAAAGAAGTCAAATATCACATTGCAGGTAACACACTCAATATCAAATATAAATAATAATACTAATAAATAAATGAGTGAATAGGTGAAAAAGCACACAAGGACATACAATATAAATAATAATAGTAACCTACTGATGCTGAATAGTATCGTGTTGTAAGTATGGCAAGTCCATGTACAAATTTACATAGTGAATCATGGTAACAAACGAGAGTTCGTTAGTCAGATATAAAGGATGTATATGAGAAACCTTCGTTGAGACCAGGGGGTGAAAGGGTTTTAAGTTTGTAGATCCAAAAGCTCTCTCTTTGTAGGAGCTTTTTGTCAAGATCTCCACCCCTGGGTCCCAAAGTAACCTTTTCAATCCCACAGAATCTGATCCCATCAGGGGATCCGCTGTGGTGTAGTTTAAGGTGTTTCGAGACCGGTGTCTCAGTCAGTCTTCTCGGGTTCACTGAGTTCACATGTTCTCTTATTCTTATTTTAAACATACGGGATGTTTTTCCGACATAGAGATTCTTACATGAACATGTAAGTAGATATACTAGACCTTTTGATTGACAGTTGAAAAACGTTTTCACATCAAAATCCTGAGAAGAGGAAGAGTCCGAGAAAGTTTTGGAGGGACGGCGTATAAAATGACATGCTTTACACCTACCACACTGGTAGGTACCTCTAACGGGGGACTTCAACCAGATTGGATTCTGAGGTGTATTTTTAAGATGACTGGGGACCAAGATATCTTTAAAATTACGTCCCCTTCTTGCGGTTACTGAGGCGTGGGGTGTAATCACTTTATGTAAATGTGGGTCTTGATGAAGGAGGGGCCAAAATCTTTCCAATATTTTGATAATTTGGTGCCAGCTGGCATCAAAATTTCCTATGCACCTAATCATGTGATGGTTTATGATTATCAACCTCAGATAGTAAGTCTGTACGGTCTGTCAGGAGTGCCCGTTTGTATGCATTTTTTAAGCATTTATTTGGGTAGCCTTTTTGTTTGAATTGGTATTGTAGCATTTTGGCCTTTATTTTGAAATCATCTATGGTAGAGCAGTTGCGTCAGAGACGTAAATATTGTCCAACAGGTATACGCCTTTTAAGGGGGATAGGATGGTAGCTCTCCCAATTCAGTAAGCTGTTGGTAGCTGTTGGTTTACGAAAAAGTGTGGATTTAAGATCTCCGTCCTCTGTTAACATGATGGTAATGTCCAGGAAATTAATTCTCTTTCTCCCAATTTCACTTGTTAATCTCAAATTAATATCATTGGTATTCAGAATCATCACAAATTCCTGGAAGAGATCAATGGTGTCTGTCCATATTATCAAGACATCATCGATGTATCTCTTCCAGAGTTTGACATGTCTGGTGTAGTTCTGCAACCTGGTATTAAACACTGTTGTTCTCTCCCACCAACCCAGGTAGAGGTTGGCATATGAGGGGGCACAAGCCATCCCCATAGCCGTTCCCCTAACCTGGTGGTAATATTTACCCTGAAACAAAAAGTAATTGTGTGTCAGGATAAATTTAATCAAATCGTGCACAAAGAGATTATGAAGAAGGGAGACAATAGGTTGTACATCGAGAAAGGCTCGAATATGCTTAAGACCCACTTCATGCGGTATGGAGCTGTACAGACTCTCCACATCGAGACTACATAGAATAGCATCACCCGTGAGTACAATATCCTCTATAATACTCAAGGTGTGTTTCATGTCTCTCAGATATGATGGAAGTTCCACAACCAGTTTCCGCAAGATCTGGTCAACATATAAGCTGGCATTTTGAGTCAAGTTTCCCTTACCCGACTCAATTCTGGTTTTTGTTTGTGCACTTTAGGGAGGGCATAGAACGTTGCTATTACAGGATTTTTAGTCAGTATGAAGTTGTATTCGTCTTTAGAGATTACGAATGTAGTTAAGGCGATATCCAAGATATCTTTGAGTTCTCCCAGATATTTTTAGTGGGGTTATTAGTGAGAATTTCATAAGTGTCATTATCTTGGATCAGATTATGTGCCATCACTACATAATCAGATTTATTCAAAATGACTATGTTGCCCCCCTTATCGGATGGTTTAAAGATAACCTTATCCAAAGATTTTAGATGTTTAAGGGAGGTTTGTTCCTGTAGGGTGATATTGCTACCAGGTTGGATCAGAAGCTCTTTCTGATTAATTTTGTCTATTTACCACATGTTAGCTCGACAAATAGATCAATATATTTAAATTCTGCTAAATGTGGGGTAAATAGACTCTTTTTCTTGAGATGTGAATGGAGGCTGTAAGCTTGCAGAGCTATCATTAGACAACAGCAGGTCAACCAATGTGTCAAGAAGGCAAATATCAGAGGCTTGTAGACCCAAATCTTTTGCTCTTTTCTCATCGTGAATGCGATGGAATTTATGCAGGGCAAGTCTCCTTGCAAATAGGTGTATGTCCTTCGTCCAGTTAAATTTAGAAACCGGAACGAAGGACAGACCCGTTTGTAGTAGTTGTAATTCTGAGGTCGTGGGGTCATAAGAGGAAAGATTGATAATTTGGTTGGCTGTAGGTGTATTGTCTAGTATCGCTTCCTCCTGACACGTAAAGGAGAGGGGATAGTGGGCATCCTTGTCGGGTTCCATTCGTAATGGGGAAAGCCTGTGAGCTAAATCCCGAGGTGAGTACTGTCGCCCTGGGATCACTATACAGAGCTCTGACGGCGGAGAGGAAGGGGACTGGGAAGCTGTAAGCCTGTAAGGTTTCTTGAAAGAATTGCCAGTTCAGGCGGTCGAACGCCTTCTCGGCGTCTAGGGATAACATAACACTCGGTTGTTTGGTGTTCTTCAATATTTTGTATAGGTCCAGTACTTTTCTGGTGTTGTCCGGCCCTTGTCTGCCTGCCACAAATCCCACCTGGTCTGTGTGAATTAGTGTTGGCAATATGGTCTTGAGTCGTTCTGCATAGATTTTGGCGTAGAGTTTTGCGTCTGCATTTAGGAGAGATATTGGTCTGAAGTTTTGGCATGTGGTCGGGGGCTTCCCCGCTTTGGGGATAGTGATGACATGTGCCGATAAGAACTCGGCAGGGAAGGTTCCTAGTCGGGTGGCTTCATTAAAGAATCGCGTGAGGCCTGGGGTAATTTCAGCCTTGAAGGCAGTGTAGTAAGCGTTTCTGTAGCCATCCGGGCCTGGTGCTTTATTTTTTGGCATTTTGTCTATCTGGTTGAGCACTTCGTCTGCGGTGATCGGTGCTGATAGGTGTGCTGTGTGCTGTGCAAGGAGTTTGGGGAGAGCAATCTTTGCTAGGTAGTTGCGAATTGATGTGGGTGTGGGTTGGGCCTGAGTGCATTGGTCTTTTAGGTTATATAGGGTGGAGTAGTAGTGTGCGAATTCGTTGCAGATTTGTGCGGGTTGCATTATCTTGTCCCCAGTGTGTGAGTTTATGAATGGGATGCGTGCTTGTGCCTGTTTCGTCCGGAGCCTTTGTGCCAGTACTTTCGTTGCTTTATTTCCCATGGAGTACGAAGTTGCTTTGAGTTTTTTCAATGCTATGCTGGCTTTTTTGAGATGGATTGCTTTAACTTTGTCTTGCGCTATTTGCAGTTGCTGTTGGAGGATCTTGGAGGGGTGTATTTGGTTTTTACTATGGAGGTCTTGGATTCGTTTTAGAAGGTACAGCAGAGCTGTGCGCATTGTTTTCTTGAGATAGGACGCTCGGCTGAGCAGAAGCCCTCTTATGACCGGTTTGTGCGCGAGCCATAGTGTGGCAGGGTTGATCTCGCTGGTGCCATTGATTTGAAAATATTGTTGTATTTCTTCTCGAATTTTGTTGGTGAAGTCTAAGTCATTGAGTAAGTGTTCGTTTAGTCTCCAGGGGCTTCGATGTTTGTATTGGTAGGAATCGGCCAGAGTGAGAGACACTGGGTTGTGATCTGAGATCGTAGAGGCGTCTATCTCGCAGGATTTGATCTGTTGTAGTTGTGAGCTGTGCATTAGATAGCCGTCTATGCGGGAATAAGTGTTGTGCACCTGCGAGTGATGGGTGTATTCCCTATCGGTTGGGTGAAGGGTACTCCATGCGTCGTAAAGCCCATATGATGCTAGTGTTTTGTTCAGAGAGATGCATTGTTTGCGTAGGGCCTTTTTCCTCTTGTGTGTGTGTGTGGCTGTGGAGTCTGCGACAGGGTCGAGGACATGATTGAAATCCCCACAGAGAACTAGGGTGCCCACCTGGATTTGCTCGATTTTGTCTAGCAGTGTGGTCATGTAGCTGGGTTGGTTCTCGTTTGGGAAGTAAGAGTTGACTATTGTGTATGTGTTGTTGTTAAGTGTACAGATGAGAATGATGTATCTTCCTTGCGGGTCTATCTGGGTTGTTACTTGGTCAAAGGCCAGGGTGTGGCTCACCATGATCGATACTCCTCTGCTTTTGGATGGAGACGTGGCATGGTATTGGTAGGGAAAGTGTTTAAGCCCAAGGATGGGTGTAGAGCCATGTTTGAAATGGGTTTCTTGCAGGCATATGATGTCTGCTTGTGAATTTCGGATCTCTTTGAGGAGATTGTATCTCTTATGGGGCGTGTTCAGGCCTCTAAAATTGTGCGTATATATTTTCATTGTTGTTACCCGGGGGTGGTCAACGGGATTGGTGTAGAGACGTTGGTTCTGTTGTGGGATTTTTTTTTATTTTATTTTTTTTATTTTATTTTTTATTATTATTTTTTAGTTGTTATGGAGGTCTAGGTGTCACCTTGTGGGTAGGTGGTGGTTAATCTAATAAATGGATTCTGTGTCTTAGAGGTTCAATGGTGTCAGTTAGGTTCGGTGATTTGGTACCCTTTTTTGGAGTCTCAGGAGGCCCCCTCATATAAGTCCAAAGGTCTAGGTTGGGTCAAGTCTCGGTACCAAGGGGGTAGAGCTAGCAGGGTAGTATGTATGGGTTACAAAACCCGGGGGGTAAATAGATAAACAGTAAACTTTACAAAAAAAAAAATACGAAAGTTACTTTCAAGGGTATGTGCCGGGGCTGGCACTTCTCAAACGGGGGTAGTGCGGTCGGGTCGAATCCAGCTGACCGCTGTCTAGGGCATACTGTATGTAGGCCCCACCCGTAGAATATGTTAGTCCAGCAAGTGTATGAATGCACTTGGCTCACGTCTTGTCTTAGGGTGCCGCTGTGGGGGAAGGGTTTCAGCTGAGTGCCGAATCGGTCTGATTCTGGTGTATGGGGTGTAACATTTGGCTTTTAGGTAAGTTGAGCAACTCGGGGGAGACTCTGCTGGTATGAGCCCTTTGAGCCGCGTGTCGTGATGCTATGTTAGTCCGCTTATCGTGAGGGGTGGTGCATCGCTACCACTTTTGGGTTGGTGGCGGGGGACACTCGTGTGTCCAGAGTGGGTATCTTTGGTGTTTTTTCGCCTCCACCTATAGGTTTGTTGTGGGAATATTTGCGGCTTGTCTGAGTGTGCCTATGCGCGTCCCATATGCGTCTGACAGGTACATGGAGAAAAGCATATATACAGGCTATAGTTGATACATTATACCCTCTGTTCTGGCGTTTGCGGGCTATGGAAGTCTGTCACTCATTAACCATACTTGTTGTCACAGCAAAACATAAACATAATGTAGTCTAGTACAGTTGTATGCCGGGACAAGCTCGGCAAGGTTATATAGGTGGAGCTGGCGTGGGAGAGATTAACATTGGGGTGCTACCAGGCATCACAAAGCCTTTAATCGGTGCATATATAGCACCGTACAGTATTATCTTCATACGCAATCTCTAAGGGCCACCCCAAGTCAAATGCAATGGGGAGTTTAAACGTGGCTGATCCTGTGGATCAATAGTCTTGCCACTTTAATTTGTGTCTTACTATTTTTTTTATTTTATTTTTTATTATTATTTTTTTTTCCTTTCTTTTTTATATTGTATATTATTTTGAGGTTGCCTTTAACGTGTCAACCCCAGTGGGATGCAGTTAATCTAATTAATAAACAAATATATCAATAAACCATAGCCAAACATTTTTAAACACTTGCTGTTCCAGGTAAGGTTAGTGGTCATCATCTTTTGAAGTAGCTCACCGCTGCCTCTGTGGACGTCCGTCGGTGCCCTGTGTCTTGCGTAGGCCTGTTGCTTGTAGATTTGGGGCTATGTCCCATTTGTGCAGCAGCTCCAGGCCTTCTTTCGGTGAGGCGGCTGTGAGAAGTTTCTCTCCTTTAGTGATGAGGAGTTTCGCTGGATAGCCCCATCTATAGGGGATGCGGTGGTGTCGGAGAGCCTCTGCAACGGGTTTGAAGGATCTTCTTCGCCAAAGTGTTTCCGCCGACAGGTCCGTGAATAGGAGGATGGATTTAAATTTATCAGGCAGGTCTTTTCTAGCTCTGTGTGCTCGGAGGATTTGGTCCTTTGCATGGTAATAATGGAGCCGCATGAGCACGTCTCGAGGCGTGGTTGGTGGTAAGTGTTGCGGCCTGGGGATTCTGTGGATGCGGTCTAGTAAGAGCATGTCAGCGGGTATGTCCGGTAAGACCGCACCGAACAGCTCCGTGGTGAAGGCCGTTAAGTCCTGAGTTCCCACGTCCTCCGGGACCCCTCTGAGTCTGATATTGTTGCGTCGGGACCTATCTTCTGCGTCCGTGATTTTGGTTTCGTGCAGTGACAGCCTCTTTTCGATATCCTCCAGTCTGTCTTCAAAAGCTGCATGGGCCGTAGTAGTTTCTTCCATCTTTTCCCTTATCGGGAGGCTCATGCGTCCAGGTCAGTAATCTCGTTATTGATTTTTGCTAGGGCCGTCGTGAACGAAGCCTGCATTCTCATGACCGCTGCGTCCAGCATCTTTTGCAGTAGGTTCGGAGTCAGCGGGGTGTTTGTGTCAGCCTCTTGTGCGTCGGTAAGGTCCGCATGGTGATCAGCCTCAGCACCATCTTGGGCCTGTACCTCGGCCTGCTTGGGGTGCGGAGTTCTGGCCACGAAGAAGGCTGCTTTGTCTTTCGTGTCTGCGCCTTTCTTTATGCGGTGTTGGGACATCGTTGACCCACGTCGTTTAGTCGGGAGTTAGCCAATAAAAAGTGGATTTAAGCCGCGTTTAAGAGCCCTGAGCTGTGGAGCTCTTTCAATGTGCTGCTAGCTTCATTCGACATCCGGCCACGCCCCACATCTTCCATTTTTTAATTATAATCCCATATTCTCCTTTTCTGCTTTGTTATATAATATTTACAGAACAAATTAAATGAACAATATGAACAGCTCAAAGCCAGGTCCCCCTAGTTTTAAACCTACAGCTGAAAACATGTCAGTTTCAGAGAAACTGCTATGTTTACACTGCAGGGTTATTCCAGCCTCTAGTGGCTGTCTCCCTGACAGCAACTAGAGGCCGCTTCCATGATTTACACTGAGTAAATCTCAATTATTTGACGCTGGACGTCCTCACAGAGTCCAGCGTAAAATAATATCCCCATAGGAAATCATTGAGTAATGCTTTCCTATGGGCAGGTTTGAATGCACGCGCGCCTCTTGCGCATTTCGCTCCACTCTGGAGCTGACGTCAGCGGGGGAGGAGAGGTCACTAGCGCTGGATTAAGGTAAGTGGCTGAAAGGGATTTAACCCCTTGAGTGCCGAGGGAGGGGGGCACTCCAAGAGCCTGTAGTGCCAGTAAAACGTGTTTGTTTTCCTGGCACTACAGGATCCCTTTAAGTGCAAAAAACTAAATTGTGTTCTCGCAGACTGTAGTGTTTCAATCCCAGGGTTTGTGTAAAGCCATACAGTGAGATAAGTCAAAATGCAAATAAATGGCAAAAAAGATCGACATGTGAAAGGAAGAGGGTAGTTTCAATAATCAATAATTAATTGTTTATACACTTGTACACAGGGTACCAAAACCATATGTAATAATAATTCCTGAAAAGCAAGGGGGGGGGGGAGTTAATAAAACGTTCTGTTCTAAAAAGGGGTGCACACAATTTAAAAGGGGAGAGTTACCAATGGGCCTGCTAGTTCCATTGGTTTCCATGGCAAGTTTGATATTTTATACCACTTTTTGGAACAGAACACTTTGGTAAATATTCCTCAGATAAATTAAGAGTGCATAAAATTTTAAATTTACCAAAATGGATCAATGAACAGCAATATATTTTGAGGTTGATAATAAAATGTGTATTTTAGTTCCATTATTACAATCACACAATATAAATGAAGACATTAATAGGGATTTATATATAATGATAAAAATAATAATAATCATTTGCAATACTGTGAGAACATTCAACTTGTCCTGCATACAATCACGACACACACAGCTATAGACCAAACCTAACGTCTCTATCCCATGTGGATCCATGGGACACACCACTATCTCTATTGCTCACCAATAATCTATTACAAAGGTGGACAGGAAAAGGGGAAAGTATCTTAGTCTTCCAAAATGTGACATATTTGGATAATTAGAACTTAGTAAACAGGTGTTTTAAGATAAAACAATTTTGTCCAACAGCCTGCAAAATATCATGACTTGGTGTTCCAGCTTTATTTGTATAAAAGATCAAGTGGTTCTTTTAACCATACAGCTACCATTTATATGAAGGTTATTCTACTGTTAGCATCACAAATGTTGACATTCACATCTCCTTTAGGGATCAATAAAGCTGACTCAGTATCATAGGAGATAAAACGCACACCATCTAAAATGGCATACTTTTAATTTACTACTTGTTGCATACTACTGATCTACTATAGCTAAATAAATTCCTTGAAAAACAACATATAGATGTAAGAGACTGCTATATGTTGCTGTTTTGCTTTAAGTTTTAAGATCTTAAACTTTGCCCTTTCCCCTGTCATGTGAAGAGGAAGGGCTAGCGTGGCAGGAAGAAGAGGACAAGGAAGAAGCCATGTTCTCTGAGTCTGCATAAAGTGTGTTCCTACCTGTTTCAATTATCTATTACTGCTGGGACAGTGAAATAATAACAGGGGGAGTCTAGTGCACTGCTACTACAAGAAGTTGGAGACTGTCTACTGCTCTGTTAGGAGAATTAGAAGACTGCTATTTTAAGTTCAGCTCCCTGCAGATTCTGGAACTTTCTGCAGGAGTGTGAATGAGCTCTTGCATCCTGTCTGCAGAAGGAAGAGAAAGGATTGCCATTGCTGTTGTGCTGCTGTCCTACATTCTGTTGGATCTTTCTGGAGATATCTGCAGTTACAGAAGTCACTCAAAGGTACTGTCTCCAGAGATTGCTTCAGGATTCTCCCTTGTAACTGTATCTGGGTAGCGCTACCTACACCTTAGGGCCTCATCGTTGTGCACATAATCTACCTGCAGGTACCTAGGAGTTTAACTGTTCAGATGTAGTTATTGATGTTATTAAGGGAATTTTGTTGTCTGCATTCCTGCTGCTAAAGACTCATGTGACAGTATCATTCCTACATCAGAGACTTTATCATCATTCAGCATTAACCAGGAACAGCATTGTTATTTCTGCTTTTATATGTGTAGCTCTTTAACCACAATACAGTGTGTATTTCCATGTCTGTTGTTATTTAATGTCTCTGAGTTATTAAGTGGAGGGTACATTTATACTCAGTGGGGTGGGTTCCCCATAAATAGAAGTTGCACTGAGTGGAGGCACTGGGTCAGAACAAGATGTCCCGATCCCTATCAACGACAGAAGAAGGTGTAACTGCTGCCAACTATGGCTTGTGCCAGGAGCAGGGCAAAAAAGGGTTACATATAGTTGGATGCAGTTGTCAGGTCAATTGCAATGCAGAATATAATTACTATTGTCAGTGAATGTAAGGAAATTATTTTGATATACTATTAGGAGACCTGCTGGTGAGGTTCTCTTTCTAATGGCCTATTGTGAATTCTGAGTGTATCAAGATTGAATTCAGCTGCATTCAAAGAGAGTATCCCTGACCAATTAAATTAAATTGACCAGTCTATAATGCAAATCTGATCATTTAATTCAAATTAAATCTATTAATATTTGTACAAAACATCAGATGTCATGTCTTTATATTGAATATATATTAAAAATCAAGCATCATGTACCCTTAAAGAAAACAAATTTCAATACTGTAAAACACATCAAAAGATGATGTCAAAGTGACAATATTAAATGTCAATTAGTAAAACCACTTCTAAGAGTAATTATCTATTATTTTGTATCCTTTACAGTTTTCAAAATACAAAAAAGAAAGGTTTTAGAGTACATAAAAGGAAACATAATTACATAATTACAATAAAATAATTATAAACTATCCTATATTTACTGATTTGTACAAATGGATCAATGTTTATACATCAAAGAAATACTTTTTTTTTTTTAAATTGCTTCTATTGTGAAAAACAGTACATTAAGAAAGTTTTAGCCATTGTTGTTACTGTTACTTAAGTTTTATGAAGTTTGACCTCCTTCAATAACTTTTGCAAACATTGGTATTTTGGTATTTGTTTGACTTCTATAAAAAATCCATTCAGATCACAAGTAGAATAATTAGCACATGAGTGAAAGAGTGTGTAAGCTGTTGTGTAATGACCGAGGCTTAAATAATTTTCTATAGTGATACAAAATGTTATCACCAACTGTGCTTTATGCGTCCATCAATGGTTCCTGGGAGTCCTGGAAGCTTTCCACTGTAAAATGCTACAAGCTGAACTACAACTTCAAACAAAATAGAGAGTCATGATATCTTGTAGAACAGTAGGGAAAAAAATGGCAAAGCACTTTATACTGGTAGGGAGGATCACAAAGAATTGTCTCATGGTCATATGGGGGCAAAATTAGTAAGATTACTGATTTTAAAAAAAACATAACTGTTGCTTGTGTTTGGAGTGTCTCTTTAATATTTTAGGGAGTGGACTGAGCTCAGATGAATTGACGGCCAACGTATAAGATTTATGCTGCAAAAGTCAAGGCGGACAAAATCTCAGGACATAAGTGAGGTTATTTACCGAACTCTAAGAGTGATTCCATGCTATACATTTGAGATTAATCTAATTTGAACCTGAACTTATGTTACAGTGCTATACCTTCAAAGATTAGTTCAGTATATACAAATTTGTTTTAGTTTCTGCTAATATACTGCAAATCTAAGTTTGAATGAGGATTTAATTTTGCTACAGTTCCGTGAATGCTAAGCACCAGGAAATGTCCTATAAATTGCTAGAGGACTTTCCCAGGTTTTCCCCGGGTAATCTAGACATGTGCTTTTCTCCAACCTTTGGTGGTCTTGCCCAAAACTTTAACCATACTGGACTCAAATCCAGAAAACAAACACAAAGGTCTATGATGATGACATTCTAATATTATCAGCCCCCACTCCCAGGTTGTTCTTTTCCACAGCACACCATCTATTTCAAACTTCAAAAATATTTCTAAAATATCTGCTGACTGCAGCCAAAATCTTGATCCCCTTGCATTGGAGAGATACCATGTCTTTTTAATTTTAAGATAAGGATATCCAGACCATGAAGCTCATGGATGCTTCCTGAAGGGCTACTCTTGTGGCACATCTTTTTTCCTTTTTCCTTTTTTTGTCTTCCATTGACTATAATTCTGCACGTGCAAAGTTGTATTGAATAACTATTCCAATAATATCTGATAATAATGCCTCCCATTTACCCTCTTAATTTGTCCTTATCTCAATTTCTCCTTTCCCCCTCTATTATTATTATTATTAATAATAATATTAAGGGATGCTGATATTGACAAACTCAATGGTAATTGTTTAATTTTTGTTGTACTCTTATCACTTCGAAATACAAAAATGTTTTGCTTATCACATGAGTAGTATTTGTCATCATGAAATATGTATCGAAGGACACTATGAATTGAACTACAGTTTGTTTTTCAACTTATTACTTAAAAACATTAATACGAAAAAAGAGAAGAATGAACTGGAAGACCACCAGAATACAATACAAAGGTGGAACACCTGTTCATTCATAAATCTATACCTCACGAAAATATATGTACTATATATAACGGGTACTAAGACCTTTAATAGAAAAAGACATACATATAAAAATTATATATATAACTGGCTATAAAAAATTGCCAGAGAAGGGTTCCCCTGAGGGATATTTAAAGTGAGTGAGAAAAGTATTCACAAAAGCTAACTAGAAAAAATCCTCATTGTAAGTTCTATAAGTTGCCTGGCATAGAAAACACTGTTATAGAAAGAACCGAACAAAAGGTATTATGTATACACAACAGATTTATCCAGGACTTTATAAAGAGGCAGAGAGGGGAGAGAGGGGGGGAGGGGGGGGGGGAAAGAGGGGTAAATATAGGGTTAATTGAAAAAGGATACCCTGATAGTAAACGTGTCCCTAGACGTGGTGAGACTGTTGCAAATAAGGGTAAATGTATCAACAGAGTGCAGTATGAATAATATGAATGTAAGGCTAATAGCCAAGAATATTTGCTGCCAAAAACATCAAAATGCACCAAAAAAATACCCCAGCTGGCCCTGGACTGCTAGCTGACTCCCAAATTACCAGGGAGATAGAAATAACTATCTGCTGCTTCAAGGCAGCCTAAAGGTTATCCCTAATACCCCAGCTCCCATCTGCCTAAATAGACCCTAAATGGTCATGAAAGGAACAAAGAGGATGTCTAGTTAAGTGAGAAAAATAAAATAAAAAAACACAAAAGAAACTCAAAGTGAATGCATCGGCATTGCTAATTTGCTCGACGCGCGTTTCGGCGTGACTAACCGCCTTTGTCAAGAGCTGAAAAGTGTCTGTGTGGATGTCCGTGTTAAAAGGGGTAAGTAGGTCCCGCCCCTCGCATCCTGGCAGCCAATCGCTATCCCGAACGTCACTCTTACCGGGTTCATAACATTAGTTCCTCCCAGTGTATCTCATTAGCCAATGGGGGACCCGTTACAATGAGGACACTTACAATGAGGATTTTTTCTAGTTAGCTTTTGTGAACACTTTTCTCACTCACTTTAAATATCCCTCAGGGGAACCCTTCTCTGGCAATTTTTATAGCCAGTTATATATATAATTTTTATATGTATGTCTTTTTCTATTAAAGGTCTTAGTACCCGTTATATATAGTACATATATTTTCGTGAGGTATAGATTTATGAATGAACAGGTGTTCCACCTTTGTATTGTATTCTGGTGGTCTTCCAGTTCATTCTTCTCTTTTTTCGCATAGTTTGTTGGGGTTAAGCCCCCTATACCTCTTGTAACCTCTACAGAGTTTGGGGAGTTGAATAATTTCAACACCCTATACACTCTGTTCTTTTTTCTGTAAAAACTTTAATAGCATTGATTCACTCCCCAAAAAAGAGGAATTTATCAAATATATTTCAACATATATATTGTGAGTCACACCTCTGAAAGAAATATACCTATTTGTTGTGTCTGTTATTATACTTTTGTGACTGTAAAGATCAATTTTATATAAAAAGAAGAAAAAAACTACCTGCATATAAATAAAATAAATTTACTAAAATAGTATAGTAAAACAAATAAAATAGAAGCAAAAAAAAAGAAGTAAGCTAAGAGGTGGCCCCCAGGAGGTAGCCAGCTGCGGGAGAATGGTGGCGAGGGAGCTGCACTCTTTGTGCTTTCCAGCACTGCTCCCGCTCACACACTAATTTGACACACACTGACAGATACTCTATCACTGATTTGAACATTTTCATGTGGTCACATCTAAAGGGGCATCTGAAGTCTGGTCTGGACTCCAAACATGCATAAAAAAGAGGATTGGAGGCCTCCCCACAGAACATGCATCTCTCAACAATGGTGCTGCAGTAGACACCAGAAATTACACATAATACAGATTAAGGAACAGAGAACATACAAAAATACAGCTTGTAATGTGTGTGTCAGTAAATATGTCTGTCAAGGTGTGTCAAATCAGTGAGCGTGTGTGTTTCAGTGTCTACTGTTTGTAACTATTATGTGTGCATTACATTTTAATTTTGTGTCTTTTATACTTCAGATTAACAGTCCTTACATACACAATATTCACATTCACAATGTTCACATTATGACATATTCGGGCATGTTCTCCAATGTGGGATTAACTTAAATATCAGTGTCCACATGTTTCATTTGGAATTTAAATCAATAGAAATGATTTTCTCAAGGCAGGGGTAATTAGAATTTTTTTTTAGAACTGCAGGGGTACTTCTCCGTAAAAGGTTGAGAAACGGGTAAAAGACTTGGAATAGGTGCTGAGAGAAAGCCTCCCGGGAAAATCTGTTACATTTACTTGCTTCTATATGATCCAGCTAGCCTTCAAATTCAATGTCATTAGCTTGATGTAAGACCACCCAAATACAATGCATCACTTCGTAAACCATGCAAAATTCCAACAAAACATGGTAGAAATGTATTCAGGAAAGAAAGGGCTTTGTTTGACATATTTGGATTATTAACTTCTTCTATACAATGACTCAAGGTTCACCGGAAATAAATGTGGCAAATGACTACACATGGTCAAACAGAAGTAAAGGCCAGTAAGTTAATGTTGTTGGAGGATGTGTCCTAATAGCATTAACCAGAGTAGGTACATAATCTAAGTTTGCTGCTTGGTAAGGTTACACACACTTCTCTCCTGATACTGGATAAATTAGTTTAATAATTTAGCTTGGATAGTTATTTCATAGACACAATAAGTAATTCCTGAAA